GTTCTGGTCATTGTGGCCATTTGGGAAGTGAACCAGTGATGGAAGACCTCTGTTTCCCTCTGCTTCTCTGTAACTCTGCCTTTCAAATAAACAAATAAATCTTATAAAAAAAAAGTGTCCAAATTTTATCAAAAACCCAATATACAATGTAATTGAAATTATATAGGTTGGCGCCACGGCTCACTAGGCTAATCCTCCGTCTGTGGCGCTGGCACCCCGGGTTCTAGTCCCGGTCAGGGTGCCAGATTCTGTCCCGGTGGCTCCTCTTCCAGTCCAGCTCTCTGCTGTGGCCCAGGAGTGCAGTGGAGGATGGCCCAGGTGCTTGGGTCCTGCACCCCATGGGAGACCAGGAGAAGCACCTGGCTCCTGCCATCAGATCAGCGCCATGTGCCGGCCGCAGCGGCCATTGGGGGGTGAACCAACGGTAAAGGAAGACCTTTCTCTCTGTCTCTCTCACTGTCCACTCTGCCTGTAAAACAAAACAAAACAAAATAAAAACAAAATTATATAAAGACTGCTTTGGGATCATAGTATTCCAAATATATGTGAGTTGTAATTCCATTCTGACAGGTATGAAAGTACTTATTTTCATGTTGCTTTGGTCCAAAGGAGCTGAGTCTGAAAGAGTAAATTAAGTACTTAATCTATTGCCAACATTAATTTAGATTGTGACTGGCAGCAGAAATATCCATGATGAATATTTCTGCTATAGCAAAGTATATGTTTCACAAAATTTTTACTGAGAAAAATATGAGGAACCAAAAAATAAAATAAAAAAAGATGGAAGCACTACTACAAACAAAAGGTATCTCCCTGATACTGCATTTGAAGGGGGGAGATTGGAGCACTGATGATGCTACTATGAAAGGAAGTTGAGTACGGTATTTATTTTTTTACACAACTCTTGCTCTTCATAAAAATGATTATAGTCATGAGGCCGGCGCCGCGGCTCACTAGGCTAATCCTCCGCCTGGCGGCGCCAGCACACCAGGTTCTAGTCCCGGTCGGGGCGCCGGATTCTGTCCTGGTTGCCCCTCTTCCAGGCCAGCCCTCTGCTGTGGCCCGGGAGTGCAGTGGAGGATGGCCCAGGTGCTTGGGCCCTGCACCCCATGGGAGACCAGGAAAAGCACCTGGCTCCTGGCTCCTGCCATCGGATCAGCGCGGTGCGCCGGCCGCAGCGCGCCGGCCGCGGCGGCCATTGGAGGGTGAACCAACGGCAAAGGAAGACCTTTCTCTCTGTCTCTCTCTCTCTCACTGTCCACTCTGCCTGTCAAAAAAAATAAAAAAAAAAAATAAATAAAAATAAAAATTATAATATGGGGCTAGCACTGGGTATAACAGGTAAAGTCACCGCCTACAGTGCCAGCATCCCATATGGACGTGGGTTCAGGTTCTAGTTGCTCCACTTCCGATCCAGCTCTCTGCTATGGCCTGGGAAAGTAGTGGAGGATGGCCCAAGTCCTTGGGCCCCTGCCTTCTGTGTGGAAGACCTGAAGAAGCTCCTGGCTCCTGGCTTTGGATCAGTGCAGCTCTGGCTGTTGTGGCCATTGGGGAGTGAGCCATCAGATGGAAGACCTCTCTGTCTCTCTCTCCCTCTCCCTCTGCCTCTCTGTAACTCTCCCTTTCAAATAAATATATCTTTAAAAAAAAAAACTAACACAAAAGGTCTGTGCATTATAACAATAAGGATTACATTTTTAAAAAAAGATTTATTTTATTTCTTTGAGAGTTATAGAGAGATGTAGAGATAGATCTTCCATCCACTGGTTCACTCCCCAGATGGCTGCAACAGCCGGAGCTGTGCCGATCTGAAGCCAGGAGCCAGGAGCCAGGTGCTTCTTCCGGGTATCCCATGCAGGGGCCCAAGGACTTGGGCCATCTTCTACTGCTTTTCCAGGCCATAGCAGAGAGCTGGATCAGAAGAGGAGCAGCTGTGTCTAGAACTGACACCCATATGGGATGCCAGCGCTTCAGGCCAGGGCTTTAACCCGCTGCGCAACAGTGCCGGTCCTGGGGGCTTACTTTTAATACAAAGACTAAGTGTTTGGGAGTTATTGTCGCTCCCCGTCTTCATGGGGGAACGACACTAAACCCTGCCTGGGCTTCATATCCGAGTCACGGCACCATTATGTCGCTCCCCCTCTTCGTGGAGGAACGACACAGGACCCTGCGCTGTTCTTTCTGTCTGCTCGGCCCTCCCCGGGTTTGCTGCTGGTTCTTCCCGGGTTGGCTACTATCCCTTCCACCTCCGTGGAAGGGCAGTTCCCCCTGGCCACATTCCCCACTTCCGCAGGGGAGCGGCACACCGCCGGCCGGCTCTCTCGGGGGCTGCACAGGTGTTCCTTCAGATGTTCCCCTTAGATGTTCCTCGTGCATGCAGTCTCTCTCCTCCTTTATAGTCCTCCTCCGCCAATCTTAACTCGGCTGCCCACACGCCGAGTACGCTGCTCTCCTCCAATCAGGAGCAGCTCCTGCAGCTTGTCAAGTTGGTGAGAGGCAGCTGGGTAGAAGCTGTTGCCTCCTCTCCCAGCGCCATATTGTGGGAGAGCAGATGCATAGAATAAGTCTTAATTCCAGTAACTTAGTCTAGTCCGAGTTGCTCCCCACAGTTATGACAAATATCATTTTATAATTGCTCTTTGCATCCTTTTTGTGTTTTGGATCTTCCACTTCATCAGGTGCTCAGCAGCTTGGAGTTCTTCGGCAGATTCTTCTTTCTCTGACTCTGAATCACTTTCAGGGTCATTTGGACTTTCAGGTGACTCATTATCATCATCATCATCATCTCCAGCCATGTCACCTTCGCCATCTTGGTCTTCCACCTCACTGAAGCCAAGTCCACGATGTCGCCGATCTTCCTGCTAATTTACTGTCCATACTTTGCTGATACTAAGACTCCAGTTCTGTCTTCTTCCCGTTTGGAAGTGAGATGTTGTTTTGTGATCTCCTGTGACAAGACGATTGTATGTTCTTTCTTTCCTGCACCACATAAGTCTCAAGAGCTTTTGTTTTCTCTCTTCATTCCCCAAGTCTGCCATCTACCAATTGCTAGATCCAAGACTGTCCAGTGGGGAGGCTGAATGCTCTCCTCTCGTGGGTGAGACTCCCTGGCAGCACTCATCATTGGGGTGATCCCGATGGGGAATCCTGAGCCTACCTGCCGTTCTCCTCGGCGACACCAGCAGCCTGCAACGCACCAGCAGGCCAAGCAGCGCCGCTACAGAGCGCAGTGCCCTCTGGCTGCTCTGTCTCCTCATCAAACAGCTGGATGCTATTTATCTTCTGCCAAGAATATGTATTCATTATACATTGCTTTCATTTTATTTTTCCATTATTATACAATTAGGGCATTATATTCATTAAAAAATTTAGTACAGGTAGTAATAGTATCTATGATTTGCATTTCCGAATAGTCACGGGGCCAACATGGTGGCATAGCGAATTGAGCCGCCTTCTACAGTGCAGCATCCCATATGGGTGCCAGTTCGGGTGAGTCCTGGTTTCTCCACTTCTGACCCAGCTCCCTGATACCGCACCGTGGAAGGCAGTGGAGGAGGGCCCAAGTGCTCGGGCCCCTGCATTCCCGTGGGAAACCCAGATGAAGCTCCTGGCTTCAGACAGGCCCAACTCTGGCTGTTGTGGCGATCTGGGGAGTGAACCAGCAGATGGACCTCTGCCTCTCCCTCTCTCTCCCTCTCTCTCTCTAACTCTGCCTTTCAAATAAATCTTAAAAGAGAATAGTCAAAGGAGTATTAAAAATACTAGTTACAAAAAGGAGATGGGGGTCTGATGCATGAGAACTGCTTCCTCTGCTTTCAAATCTGGCCTTAAAAATTCTGTACAGGCCTATCCATGGTGAAGTAAGGGAGATGTTGAGTGCATCCTCCAAATTAAATCATTTGTTACCATCTGGAGACACCACTGTATTCATATGCAGAATTCAGTGCCTTTAGCCATTTACTTGCAAAGCCTTGCAAGGTGATATTAGTCAACACACACAGCAGTGTAGAACTGCCTCGGAGGTGTAACAAAAGCGATCTGTTTTGGGTTTGAGTGGGACTTGGGGAGGTTTTTTTTCCTCCTGCACATTGCTAGTGTGGAAGTAACTGCAATAGTACCCGCGCGGGAGTCGGGAGCCTACATCCTCGGTTCCCTTTGTCTGCATGATCTGAACCGCAATCTGTAAAACTAACTTTGGGATTCAGCTGCTTCCCCAGCCCGGGGGGCTGGTGATAAATGCAGATGCTACGGTACTGCTACCACTGCCACCTCTCCTTTCTCACACGTACTCATCCCAGAGGCGCTCAAAGTGGGGAGAAGGAACTCACGTTTGGTTTGTGCAAGAAGGCTGGGTGTAGGGTTTGATACTGACCCAGGAACCCTGCAACTCGAGTTTGCCGTTCTGCGCTACTTTGTCCTTACCTATGGCCAGCAGCGGATCTGGGGCCGCGTGGGGGCATTCCCTCTCAGTGCTTCCTCGTTCTCTGGACGTCAGCTCCTGTCCCTTTCTCAGGGGAGCTGCCCTCACCCACTCTCCCACTTCAGCAACATTCTCCACGCCCACCGCCCCCGCCAGCGATCGCTTATCTCGGTTTGTAATTACCCTTCTTAGCAGTGACTGTGTGGTTCCTGTCAGAGCCCCGAGTGGGCGTCTCGTCTGTTTATGCTCCCTGTTTCTCTCTGGCCAGCCAGTGCCTGGTACCAGGAAGGCACTCAGTACTTAGTAGTTGAATGAATACTCGTTTGCTCCAAATCCCAGAAGTACCAACACTTACTGAGATCACGAATATTCCCATCGTAGCCCACGCTGTAACTGGTGGGAGACTACGTGGTTTCCCTCAACAGCTCTTCTCCGTGTCTACCCGCAAAACCCAAACCCAGGCGGTCTGAATTTGAGTCAGAGCGAGCTTGGCTGGAAGGTGGCCGGAGAACAAGGGGAAAGGGAAGGCCAGAATCCCTGGTCCCCAGCTCCCGAGAAACACTCGCTGAGGAATCCCAGGGTGTCCAGGGCCTCCCCGCACCAGACAAAGAAAGCCCGGTGCCGGTGGTCCCTGGCCGAGAACCACCCTGGAGACCCGAGGTCGGGGTCGGGGAAAACGGCTCCGGGAGGGCGGCGGGACCTAGTCTCCCAAGCCAAAGTGGGGGCGCGTGAGTGGCAGCCTGTCTCGTCCCGCCTGGTGTGCGGGCACGGGTGGGCCCTGGGCTGCGCGCGTGTGCGACTCTCCGGGCAGGCCCCGCAGCGGCCCGGGGCGGCGCGGGGGCCCGCTCGCCGGCGCTCAGGGTGCAGGTGCGGAGAGCAGGCGGCAGCCCGGCCCCAGCGCGCGGCCGCGGGCTGCGAGGCGCCGCTGCAGGCGGCAGGAGGCAGCGTCGGCCCGGGCGGCGCGGCGGCGAGCAAGCCAGCGCGCAGTGATGTCAGTGGCGGCCCGGCTGGCAGCAGCCGGCACTTCCTGTGGAAAGGCGGGCGGGCTCGGCGGCGAGCCCCACTAGCCAGTGTCAGCCTCTCGGCGCGAGGGGGCGGCGGCGGAGGAGGAGCCGGGGGAGGGCTGTCAAATTGGGGAGCCAGATTCCCCCTTCCCCTGGCAGTCCCTTCCGCTTCCCCGGCTCCCGGTGTGACATCTGCGGGCCGGGGACCTGCAGGCGTGTGCGCGCCAAGGGGCGGAAGAATGGCAGTGCTCAAACTCACCGACCAGGTAGGGGGGCGGCGGCGCCGGCGGGCGGGACGCGCGGGCGCGGGGCGGCGCGGAGCTGCGGGACGGGGGCGCGGCGCGGGGCGCGCCCGCGGGCTGTTTACTCGCGGCGAGGGGCGGAGTGTGTGCCGCCGCCGGTGCCTCCTGGGGCGGCGGCGGCGGCCGCCGCTCGCCCCCGCCGCGCCGTCCCCGCCCTGGGCCGTCGGAACTGCGCGCTCGGCTCGAGGGCCCGCGAGCGCCGGGGCGCGGATGTGCGAGGAGCGTCGCGCGCGGGCCAGGCTGGCAGGGGGAGGGGAGCTCGGGGTGCCCCGCAGGCTGGGAGCGCGCTCTCCGGCGTGGGCGCCGGCCGGGGGAAGGTGGATAGCGAGCGGGAAGGGGTCTCAGTTGGGACCCCCTCCCGGAGGCAGGCGGGAGTCGAGCCGAGACCGCTGCCTTTATCCATTTGATGGGACCTCCTGACTTCCTCTTAGGAGCCCGGGCGCTGGGTGCGCGGACCGCGATGGGGACCTAGCGCCGGCGCTCCGGGCTGTCTGAGCCGGAGGTGTAGTCGGGTCGGAGGCTCCCCTCGCAGGCGGAGCTGCCCTCTGCGTGTCCATCAGCTTTGTTGCTTTCCTGGCCGAGGCATCGCGCAGGGCAGCTCTGGAGCCGCGGCTTGCACGGGGTTCTTCGCCGAATCGCACTGGCGGTGCTTGCTGCGGGGTGTTGCATTCCGGACTCTGCTGCCCTTAGGACGTCGGCTCCCACAGGCGTCCAGACAAGTTACGTGACGAAAGTCGGCATCTCTTTAACACTAAAGAAAGGAAGCTGCCGTCCCCTACCCCCGGGGATTCATGCGTAGTGAAATGAACCTTGCTTTGGGGGTCCTGGGGGGCGGAGAGGCGGTCTTGACTTGGACACTCGGGTCAAACGTGCCGGCCCTTGGTACTAAACATCTCGAACTTCAGGTTGCACGTGGAGCCTCGTTGCCTCGTTAGTATCCACGCAAACAAGATGTAACCGAAATGCAATTGATTATCACAATGATTCGTTCTGCCTTTGAGAACCAGATGTTCAGGTGTTTTTCTCTGAGGCGTGTGTGTGTGTGTGTGTGTGTGTGTGTGTGTGTGTGTGTGTGTGTTGGGGGGGGCGGGGAATGGGAGGGTGGCCACTGAGTTAAAATTCATGTTCTTAAGATTAGCTGCAAGAGCAGCTGGTGATTGTGGTACATCTACTTGTTTTTATTGATTCCTGTGCGTTTAGAAGTGTCTGTAAGCTGCTATTAGGCTCTCCTCCTCCACCTTTTGGTCACACACTTCGCCAACTGTTAAGACATTAGATTGTTTCAAATCTCACCGATTCAGTAAGCCTAAGTGCTGTCCTCGTGGCTGGTACAAGTTATTATACTTGTCTGCATTCTTACATCTTTAGAGTACAAAAAGTCATTCTGTTTCTCACAGGCGTTATTGTCTACTAGAGGAAAGAGTTTCACCTAGAACTTTTGAGATGTGAGGATGCACACACAAGATGACCTGGCCCCACCCAATCTTTCGATATCTGAATGAAGAACCAGATCCGGAGATGTGAAACCAGTCCTCCTCAGGGGCCACGGCCATAGTCGGGGAGCTGGGGCTCCTGGCGTTGCCTTCCAGACTCTGTGCTTTCTGCTCATGGGAGAAAGACACCTCCCTGTTCTTCCTGGATGTGTTCTAAGGCTTGCTAGAAGGCATCCCTTCCCAGATCAAGATCAGCCCTGCTGACAAGTGCATTCCTTGGTCTTAGAAAGGAAGTTGTTCTTCAGGGCTTAGCAGAGTAGGGTTTTCAAAGATGTTTGTCTTGTAGAATGTTTCTAAATACATCTCCTTCCTTCCCTCAACAAACCAGCATTACCATGGAGAGAAACAAAGAGTTGCCCAACCTGCATGTGGTTTCATCTTCTGATATGTGGGGGGAAAAAAAAAACCAAAAACGTTCTAAGATTGAAGAACATCTAAACATTGCCAGGCTGTCTTGGGGCAAAGCCAGAGGGAGACTGGGTGGGGAGCAGGGGTGGGCTGGGGTGGGGTGGGGAAGGGAGCAGTGCTGGTTTCTTTAGGTCCAGGAAGTATGTGGTCTTTTCTTGCCTTATATAGTCTTACCTCTTGTGTCTGTGACTCTCAATTCTTAGAAGCTGGCTCTTAGCCTCATCAACTCACTTAAAAACCCTTTGCTTACACCCCTCCAGAAGAGTTTGCTCCATCCTGGGGAGTAGGGAGCCCCCCTGTCTGGAATCCTGCCTGGGGCTCCCTGAAGGAGTGGAGCCTCTAGCTCGCTACTCAGTTCTGGTAGAGCAGTCACCTCTTCACCCCCTCCCTCCCCTGCCCATCTGCTGCAAGCCCTCTTTGTGAGACAAGTCTTGACTTCTGCTGTGGCTCTAAGATTTCTAGTTTGAAGACACATCCTTGCTGTTGATAATCTGAACCAGGACTTGTTTTGGTTAGTCTTTCAGTGTGGTTCAAGGAAGAGGCGACAGTCAGTCACATTCCTTCTGTCCTGCTAAAGGGGGGTGCAGGGGTTTGCTAGCTGGTAGCTGTTGTCTCTTCAGCAGTCAATCATGCAGTGGCCTCTAAGTCATACAAGAGAAGGAAAATGCCTTTTCCTAAATTCTGTTTTAGGGAGGGTAAAATGGAAGGGGGAAGGGAGGAAGAGGGGGAGGCCAGTGTGGTTTTTAGTCTTTTTTTTTTTTTTTATAATTATGAAAAGGAACTGGGAACTATTGCTACAAACAAACTTGGCATTTAGCACTTCTGCATTTCTAAGCCTGTTTCTTCTGTTTTCCTCTTCAGACAATGCACAGAATTTTACTTGCTGTGTAAAGGGACCAGCCATCCTAGTTTGCCCAGGACTGACGTGTTCCCCACTGTTTGGTGCTAAAATTGAGAAAATTCAAGGCAAACTGGGAGGACCTGATTATACATCCTTTAGCATAGAACACACTCAACTATGTAATTAATCTAGTAATGTAATTATTTTCTCCCAGATGGACATTAGGTATATTTATATCTTTGGAAAAGCAACATAGTTTTAAGTTTAGGAAGGAAAAAATGCTTACATACAAATGTAATGCATTTTGGTTCAAGATAGCCATGAAACTTTTGTAATTTGATAATTGAATTTTTAAAAAATTATAGATTTATTTATTTATTGGAAAAGTTGAGTTACAGAAAGAGAGGGAGAGACAGAGATCTTCCATCCACTGGATCACTCCTCAAATGGCTGCAATGGCCAGGACTGGGCCAGACCAAAGCCAGGAGCCAGGAGCTACTTCAGGATCTTCCATGCAGGTGCAGGGGCCCAAGGTCTTGGGCCATCTTTCCCAGGTGCATTAGCAGGGAGCTGGGTCCGAAGTGGAGCAACTGGGACTTGAACCAGTGCCAGTATGGGATGCAGACACTGCAGATGGCAGCCTTACCTGCTGTGCCACAGTGCCAACCCTGATATTGAACCTCTTTGAAATGTTCTTTCTGTCATAGAATTACAGCAGTTTGTTTTAAGGGTGTGATCATATCTCCTTCCACCAATTTTTTTTTTTTTTTTCTCACAGTTCCAAAACACCAGGGTGGCTAAGTGCTGTTGGGTAGTTGAAGCGTTCGCTGTTCTTACCTGATTCTCCTCCTGGTGCTGAGCATCACTGCCGTCTCTCAGGCTGCCTGTGGACAAACTCTTTTAGCAGGTGGCTGTTCTGGGGCTTCCTGCCTGGAGGCCTTCTGGCTTCGTGTCTCCTTGCCAAGTCCTAGCTCACACTCCAGTCACCTACCTCCTTGCCAAAGGCATTGGCTGGCCTCTGTGGCAGTGGCAAGAAGCGAGAGCTTCTGCAGCTTTGAAAGCAGGATTTCTAGCCCACGGTGGGGGCGTTGGGACACATCACGTATTTTATTGGATTGTCCTTCCATTGCTCTCTGGAGCACTGGTGTTAAAGCAAACACTGTGCTGTAGTCCTGCCTTCAGCAGAGAAGGGAAAAGAAAGCCTTGATTCTTTGGACCTTTTTCTGGTTGTTTTGGGGCCCAGCTGCATGGCTTTGGGAGTGTACTTGGGAGCTGAGATTTCATGGCACACACCTAATAGTGGCTTGTGTTTTTTGTGCTCTCATTGAATGTTGGCCCTTGCTGTGAATCATCTCTCTTAATCCTCCCACTCACACCGAGAGGTAGGTGGTGGTGTGATTCCTATTTTATAGATGAGAAAACAGAATGGAGAGGCTAATTGACTTCTTTGAGGTCACACGCCCAGCAAGTGACCCGGCACAGTGTCTACCCTGGCAATCTGATTGCACAGGTGGGGCTCTGACCACAAGGCTATACTTTTCATAGTTGAAAGGGCAGTGCAGCTGCAGGACTAATGGCTGCCTGCTCTTACGTACTGGGAAGCCATTGGGTGAACAGCATTCCCTGCACTCCTCCTGCCTCTTGGGGCCAGACCCACTTTTGTCAGAGGAAGGGACCATTTCGATGCTTCTGCCTGGCTCTGCAACCTCTCCACCTCCCCGTCCTCGGGAATGATGTGTTGGTACCTTGGGGAGTTTTTTCTTGAATATTTTTTATAGAACACATAAACTACAATCATTGCAGTGCAACCAGAAAGCTAGACAAGCAAAAAGAAAAATAGTTAAGACCATCTGAAGTCTCTGTGCTTGGAGGAGATAACCACTCTTGACATTTTGATGTATTTCCTTCTAGTCTTCTGTCTGTGTTGTCAAATACATGTTTTAAACTTTCTGTGTGTTGATATCACTCTCTTTCACCTGCACACAAAGCTGATATCTGTGCTCTCCAGACCAGCGACTTTTCCAAATAAACTCAAGCTTCTCTTAAATGTCTGATTGGATGCTCTAGCACACTCTGACACCAGCTCCCAAGGTTTAACCTTGGATTGATTGATATTTTCTTTTAAAGATTTCAACTTTTACTTGCAGAAGCAAATATAACTAAAAAGGTACAAATACTCATATCAGGGCCAGGGCTGAAGTATTCTTTGACAAAAATTTACA